TCTTCTGCAGATCTATAAGTCTGTTGTTGAGAGTGTCATCTCTTCTGCAGATCTATAAGTCTGTTGTTGAGAGTGTCATCTCTTCTGCAGATCTATAAGTCTGTTGTTGAGAGCATCATCTCTTCTGCTGATCTACAAGTCTGTTGTTGAGAGCATCATCTCTTCTGCTGATCTACAAGTCTGTTGTTGAGAGCATCATCTCTTCTGCAGATCTACAAGTCTGTTGAGAGCATCATCTCTTCTGTAGATCTTCTACAAGTCTGTTGTTGAGAGCGTCATCTCTTCTGTAGATCTTCTACAAGTCTGTTGAGAGCATCATCTCTTCTGTAGATCTTCTACAAGTCTGTTGTTGAGAGCGTCATCTCTTCTGTAGATCTTCTACAAGTCTGTTGAGAGCTTCATCTCTTCTGTAGATCTTCTACAAGTCTGTTGTTGAGAGCATCATCTCGCCTATCATCTGTTGGGGCAGCACCATCAGAAGCAGGGACATAAAGACTCAACAACCTGATAAAGAAGGCTGGTTCTGTTCTGGAGATGACTGTGGAAACTCTGGAGATGATGGTGCAAAGAAGTATTTTACATCAAATCAAGAACATTGTGGACAACCCTGACCATCCTCTTCATCAGACCGTCGTATAAAAACAGTGTTCAGTCAGAGGCCTCTTCAGTTTGGTTGTAATACAGACCTCTGTCCACAGCCATCARCATCTACAGTAAGTCTTTACAACAACATCTAACTTCCCTCTGGATCAATAATCAAGTGAAGTGAATTGAACTGAACCATTAGATTTCAGGACTGATTTTAAAACAAAACGTCTGAAGATGTGTACTGGGTCAGAACCTTTTGATCAGAACTGGACCAACAGTTACACTCTGTCTCATTCCAGGTCCGTCTGGAACCAAAGGGAAAGTTCTACAATGCCTTCATCCAGGAAGTGGGAACTCACACAGCAGCTGTGACKGTGTTCATRGAGGAGCTGGGAGAGAAGTAAGATACTAACAGAACCGGGTCTGAACCGTGCACACTCACATGTGATGTCAGAACCAGAACCTTCACAGGGTCTGTGACATTGATGTTGTGGATGTTTGTTCTCAGGCACCTGGTTCCTCTGACAGATCTGAAACCAGTCAATCCGGTTCCGGCCTGGAATGTGGCGACGCCGACCAGGAAAGGAGAACTTGGTAGGTTTGGGGTCTCAGTTGAGTCTGTCTGTGGTCAGTCCATCTMCTCACGCTGTGTTTTCCCATCAGAACCGGACTCCCGAAATCAGCGCCATCACCGRCATCGCTACTTCAGGAAGTCTCGAGGCAGCAGCAGTATCAAGGGGGCGGAGCTACTCGTGCTTCAGCCSACTTCTTATGGGAGCCCAGCTCCCTCCACTTTGCCTCCCCGCTTTCAGCCTGCAAGTCATACTAGGCTCCCCCTCCCTCCATCACCTGGAGCCATGACCTATGACCCCTATGCCCCCCACCACCACCCCGCAGCCAGACCCCCACGCTACGGAACCTCAAGGTGAGATTGCAGACCTTTCCCGGACCAGTCCCAGGCCTGTCCTGGACCTTTTCTGGACTGGTCCCAGACCTGTCTCTGTTGTCGGTCTCTTTAAATTTAAAAGCTAATTAATATTTGTTGTCCACGCTGTATTTGTGTTTTTTTTTCTCTCCATCTGGGTCCGGTCTCATGGTTCTGGTCAGAAGCTCTACTCGTTTCCTGAACCGTCACCTGATTGGTCCACAGCTGACGTACTACCACACCGGCAGGCGGTACTACGACTATGAGAACTACGCCTTCAGGTCTCGGTAAACAGATCTTTACTTGAGTTTGGTCTCAATGGTTCACCTGRGGAGGACAGCTTTATTACCTGAAATCTCTGAGTTTAAAATCAATCTAAGAACTTAAACTGAAGCTGATGACAGAAATGAACTGGAAGCATATCAGAACTGGTCTGCAGAACTCTGTRTCACTCTGTGTTCAGTCGCAGTCGGCGCCAGCTGGGAGCAGCTCTAAACAAGGAGTGTCAGTTTGGATTTTCAGCCGAGACGGTGGATGAGCCCGCAGATCTGGATGCAGCCATAGCATACTACCAGCTGGACGACGCTAACGAAGCTGTCTTCCCTCCCCTGTCGGTGAGAAACCACAACTTCTGACAGGGGCCAGAGGCGTCTGACAGGGGCCAGAGGCGTCTGACAGGGGCCAGAGGCGTCTGACAGGGGCCAGAGGCGTCTGACAGGGGCCAGAGGCGTCTGACAGGGGCCAGAGGCGTCTGATGACG